TACACATTAGGAATGAAAATCAAAAGTATGGTTAGTATTTGGTTGAGAACTTTTTAAAATATGTAACTATGAAATTTGATTATTTTTTTAATTAAAATTTTATTCCCTAATTTCAAACGGGTATCGTTCTATCTTATTAGTAATCTGAATTTTAAATTTGGATTAATGCTTTTAGATTTATATTTTGATTTTTTTTTGTTCATATTAGTGCTTTGGATCATAATAATATTAGGACCAATTGTCTTAATTTTTTATTTTTTATATTTTTAAAACATTTATTTTCATTATAGGGTCATACATAACCAATCAAACATCAATATTAGTAATCATTTCAATTTCACCCTAATATCAAACATGCAAAATACTTTCACCAAAATTAATTACCGTTACCAAATATTTGATTCACATTCCAATTCTGATTCACTAAACATACCCTTACAGGGCGTATGGTTGAAGAGAATTTAAATTCTCTTCCCACTTAATTCCCACCTAATTCCAAAGGCCATAAAATTCCCTTGTTTGGTTGAAAGGAATTGCAATTCCATGGAATTGCAATTCCCCCATTTTTATGGAATTAAAATCCCATGTCCCCCAGGGATTTTAATTCCTGGGATTTTAGGAAGAAAAAAAGATAGTGATGAGTCAAAATTACTCCTTCCCTTTTTAACCTAAAATTAATGCCTAACAACAATGGATATTTTTGACTTTATACTACTTATTCCTTTTCAATTCCCATGTATACCAAACATTAGAATTGAAATTCCTAGTAATTTTATTCCGGTAAACCAAACACTTGAATTTAAATTCCTATTTTATTCTCAATAATTCATCTCCCGTTGAATTGCAATTCCTTTCTCACGTAAATCCCGCTCTTCAACCAAACGCCCTGTTAGAGTTCATTACATGAACTATATATCAATCTTTACTCTCTCACTTTTACTTCTTAACGTGACACAAGAGATGATAAATTATGGATTTCAAAAGATATGTCTAGAACTTTGGCAATAAAGTAGTATTTTCATTATTTTTAAATTTTTGTTTTTATACAACTCAGCAATTATGTAGCATGATTGTGGAGATGTCAACTCCTAATTAAACTGACGCACGTTAATTAGTTGTAGATAATGAACAGTACAATTGAACAATGATAATTATGGTTTTTTTTAATGTTTCTGTACAAAATCATGCTGTGTAGTACAATCTCGCGACAGTCAAACTTGTACTGCATGCAAATCCTATAGATACAGAACCTGAACAACACAGCGCTTCATAGTTCATAACCGCAATGGCCATTTTTGTAAGTCTCATCAATAAGTCAACTTTCTCGATCGCATTATTACTCTTCTTCTTCCTGTTCCTTCAGTTCTCCGGCATCGATGGCCACGGCGGTAGCGACCACTCGGACGACGACGACGACGACGACGGTGCCGCCGCCGTTGACCTTCGCGACAGAGGGTTGATCCTCGTGAAAATCTACTGTCTGATCATCCTTTTCGCTAGCACGTTCGTCGGCGGCGTCTCACCTTATTTCTACCGGTGGAACGAGAGCTTTCTGCTGCTGGGAACTCAGTTCGCCGGCGGGGTGTTTCTCGGCACGTCCCTCATGCATTTCTTGAGCGACGCGAATTCCACTTTCGCCGACCTGACGGAGAAGACGTACCCGTTCGCCTTCATGTTAGCCTCCGCGGGGTACCTCATCACCATGGCCGCTGACTGCGTGATACTGCTGGTGACAAACGGCGGCGGCGGCGGCGGAGAGGCTAAAGTGGAAGTTGAACATGGCGGCAGGGTAACCGCCGATGATCATCATGAACAACAGATGAACCCTTTTGCATATACGACGTCGTTGGGGGATACAGTACTTCTCATTCTAGCATTGTGTTTCCACTCCATCTTTGAGGGGATAGCCGTTGGAGTATCCGGTAAGTAACCACACTTATCCTTATCATAATACATACAATCATGCGTTTTAGGTTGTACTTAATTAGTGTAAATTATATTAATTGGTTGCACCATATCAATCATTACCTTAAAATTTCAGATTTTTCATTCAATCTTAATTTGTCTACCTCCATATAATTAAGTAGTATACCTTTTGGGTTGTATTGGATATGTGCAAATTGAAGTAATGCTAATCAACACCATAGTTCTATTTTTAGTAGTTGATCTCCGAATTGAACCTTTGTTTAAGCCCATATAACCATGCATGCCTTTAATTTTGAGTGGTAGGGTGATGCAAATAGGCCTAGGAGATGTTTGGTAAATGACTGTTAGTTGATATATAGTTGTTAGCTGATTGAGTTAGTTGGTTTACTAGTTGATAGCATTAGCTAATTGTAGAAGAGTGTTTGGTAAATTAGTTGTTAGCTGTTAGCTGTCAACTGATTACATACAAAATGACTGCCTCACAAAACTTATCGAAAATGCTACTTTGAGCAACTTTTTGAATTTTAGCATTTTGGAGCAATAAGTTGTTACAAAAAGCTAATTATTCAGACACTCATATTGATTGTTTAACCAAGTCAAACAGCTAATAGTGGTCAAATAAGTTAAATTGACTGATAAACTAACTATTTACCCAACAAGGCCATAATTATCGATCAATCTCAGATCGAATTGAACCTTTATCTAACTTTCAGGCACGAAGGGAGAAGCATGGAGGAACCTGTGGACGATTTCATTACACAAGATATTTGCAGCCATGGCAATGGGGATTGCACTTCTAAGGATGATTCCAAAGAGGCCATTCCTACTCACATGTGTTTACTCCTTCGCCTTCGCAATCTCGAGCCCTATTGGGGTAGGAATCGGAATCGCCATTGACGCCACCACCGAGGGTAAAGCAGCAGATTGGGTTTATGCCATCTCAATGGGATTTGCCTGTGGAGTTTTCATTTATGTTGCCATTAACCATCTCATAGCCAAAGGTTTTAAGCCCCACAATAAGTCCTACTTTGACACCCCACTTTTCAAGTTTCTTGCTGTCCTTCTTGGGGTTGGGGTTATAGCTGTTGTCATGATTTGGGATTAGTAGTATTCTTTACATTCCACAAGTGATGATATGATATGTCTTGTTTGTGAAAACTACCAATCAACTTCCTTCTTTGGATTCACTTTACTCTCAATCCATCATATACCCATTATTCTTGGACGTACACCTCATACATACACACTTCTAGCGGGACAAATTTCGTTTACCTTAAATGTTTAAACTGATTAGTCGTCAAATTATAAGATCTCCTAATTTGATAATTAGTCAATCAAAACATGTCATGTCAAGTGATATTTGTCTCATCACTAGCTAGCTAGATAAAAAATATTCAAGCATTTTACTTTTAGGGTCACGCTAATATATATATCTGCATACTAATTGTATCGATTTGTTTATATAGAAATTTTATTGAACATATATATAATTTTAATAAAATATTAATTCATAACTAGAAAGTTGGTCATTTCACTATAACATACACTATATAGTTGAGGTGTCTGCTTTGAGTATTCTACAAACAGCTTAGGAATGAAAAAGTTGGATTTAAAATTTTAAATTATACAACCATCAAGAACACATTCATATTCTTGTAGGATTTGAACAGATAGTCCTTCGTACTTTACAAGGTCAGTTATTGTTGGTGTAACAACTTAACAAAACTTACCCATGCATTAGGGGTGTAATTGGTAAATAGTTGTTAGCCGTTAGCTGTTACTTGATTGAGTTAATGAATTTGACTAGTTGATAGTATTAGCTGATTATAGAAAAATGTGAGTTAATGAGTTTAACTAGTTGATAATATTAGCTGATTATAGAAAAATGTTTGGTAAATTAACTGTTAGTTGATAGTTGAGTATATACAAAATTACTTTTCTAAAAAAAACTGATCGTAAAAGTTATTTTGAACAACTTTTTGAATTTTAGTATTTTAGAACAATAAGTTGTTACAAAAAACTAATTAATGAAATACTCATATTGATTATTTAATCAAGTCAAGCAGCTAATAATGATCAAACAATCCAAAGTTAACTGTTTATAGTAACTAATTTACCAAACATGACCATTATTTTTACTAGCAGCGGCAAGTTACATAGTTGGGGTATAACTCAAGTGGGAGCTAATTACTATCTAGTAGTCCCCCATGCACGGTGAAGTTAGTGAAACAGTAAGTAAAAGTACAAGAAATGAAAGAAACATTCAATTCGATGTTGCTAAGGATCGGATAACCAAATCATTACTTTAGTTGCTTGGAAGAAAGGCGATCGATCGATGGAGAGAGTTAGTGTGTTCGTTGCCATGTCGCCAACCCACTCCAACATTATTATCTATAGATATTCGTTTATATGTTAGTTTCATCATTTACTACGTAGGTCCAATATAGAGAGCTAGCATATATGGCCGCCTGCCCACCATGAACTTAATTCACTTGTGTTTTAAACCATCCATCTTTTATCCATTAATAACCTAAGCTAGCTAGCTCAGATCAGATAATGTGTACCTTCATTACCGACTGACGGTTGAGGATTAATTCACATTGGATGGTATATCAAAATCATTGAAATTAAACCCTAAGTTTTAATTTCAATTAATAGCTTTCTGGTGACCAAAAATATAATTACCCTCAATAAATGCAGTGGGTCTTGATAAAACACAAATTTAATTATGGAATATTTGAATCAGATAAAAAGTAAGAAAAATTTACAATCACTGCTGATGATAATGTGTATCGGGTAAGCCTCTCTAGCATACCACTAGAGAGGGGTTTGAAGTTTAGGGACAAGAAGAGGCTGGTCAACCTCAACGAATGAATAATTTACTTTAATAACACCCTATAGTCTAGAAAGGGACAAACAATTTGGTGCAAATTCTTTTCGTAAATTACTCCAAATCTGCTGGAGATTAGCCTAGAACCACACATGTCTTTACCTAATTAATCAACCAAACACACCCTCCCATATTCATGTATTTATATATATAACCCACCAATAGGCGTCCATATTATAACCATTCAAAACAAACTTCTATCCATACAAGAAAGACACATTTTGTTGTCTCCTTCTGATCTGCCTCCACTTATCAGTAAAGAAACAATAATAATGGGGTTCTTGTTTCATGCATTTCCACCACTTTTAGCTGCCTGTTTTCTTATGATCATGACCAGCCTTTTCTTCTTTCCTCATATGGCAGTGGCAAAACATGGATCTGTCACCCGACACTACAAGTTTAACGTATGTGCAGTGTTTCTTGATTAGTCATCACTTCACTTAATTGCTGTTTTAGCAGTTTCGTTTGTTTGTTGTCTCTGGTGATAATTCTTGCCTGTTACGTTCTTGATTGTTTTTATAGATACGCATGCAAAATGTGACTAGGTTGTGCCACACGAAGAGCATCGTGACCGTGAACGGCAAGTTCCCAGGCCCTCGCATCATGGCTCGTGAGGGTGATAGGGTTTTGGTTAAGGTTGTAAACCATGTCCCCAACAACGTCAGCATTCACTGGTATATATATATATATGCAGTTCAACTATCAAACTCGATCGATCAATACATAATGTAACTCGTAATAGTAGCAGAAGAAAAATGTGTATAAAGCAAAAAATGTTTTACGTGTTACAGGCACGGGATTAGGCAAATAAGGAATGGATGGGCAGACGGACCGGCCTATATCACACAGTGTCCGATTCAAACCGGACAGACCTATGTTTACAACTTCACCATTGTTGGCCAAAGAGGAACCCTTTTCTGGCATGCCCACATTTCATGGCTTAGGGCTACTCTTCATGGACCTATCATCATCCTCCCAAGGAAGAACACTTCTTATCCTTTCCCTAAACCCCATAAAGAAGTCCCTATGATCTTTGGTAACTGCAGATATTTAATTGTTATTGGCTTAAACTTTTAGTTGACACGGAACAAATCTTTCGATTCTATAAACAATTTTTGGAAAAATGCAGGTGAATGGTGGAATGTTGATACAGAGGCTGTGGTTAGCCAAGCACTTCAAAACGGCGGCGGGCCGAACATTTCTGATGCATATACCATTAATGGACTGCCTGGACCATTATACAATTGTTCTGCAAATGGTATATATTATGAGTTCCAACTCTCTGTAAAACTATATAGGACAATCACAGCCAAGTTGGTTGAATTGGTAACTAAAAGGTTACAATTAAGTTCGACTTCAAATATTAGACATTAATTGATTTTCTTGATTTTAGCTGATCAGTTATAAATAATCTAGACTGATTTATTGGTTTACCCGCGAGTTTTCAACATTAAAAAAATTTATATATGGTAATTATTTGGTTTAATTAAAGCATAATAATGTGAATTTTTCTGTTTTTAGAAACGTTTAAGGTGAAAGTGAAGCCTGGGAAGACATATCTCCTACGTATGATCAACGCTGCACTTAATGATGAACTGTTCTTCAGAATCGCCAACCACACGGTGACCGTCGTGGAAGCCGACGCCGGTTATGTTAAGCCGTTCGAGACAGACCTTCTGGTCATCGCACCAGGTCAGACAATGAATGTTCTTCTGAAAACCAAGGATAATCCTCCGATGTCGACGTTTTTCATGGCGGCCAGACCGTATTTCACCGGCCAAGGAACCTTCGACAATTCCACAGTCGCCGGAGTTCTTGAATACGAAATCCCATCGCTCAATATTTCCAAGAATTCAACCAAACCCATTGCTTTGCCTCCCCTGCCTCCGATCAACGGCACGTCTTTCGTCTCCAATTTCACCGGAAAACTCCGCAGTTTGGGGAATTCGCAGTTTCCGGCGAATGTCCCGCAAACTGTGGACAAGAATTTCTTCTTCACCGTGGGTCTTGGAACCAACCCGTGCCCTAAAAACCAGACGTGTCAGGGCCCAAACGGCACAAAATTTGCGGCTTCTCTTAACAATGTCTCCTTCGTTACCCCCACAACGGCGATTCTGCAAGCCTATTACTCCCGGAAATCCAATGGGGTATACGCTACAGACTTCCCAAGCGTGCCTCTAACGCCGTTTAACTACACCGGCACTCCTCCGAACAACACTCAGGTGGTTAACGCCACCAAGGTGGTGGTGCTCCCCTTCAACGCCACCGTGGAGCTGGTGTTGCAGGACACCAGCATTCTTGGCGCGGAAAGCCATCCTCTCCACCTTCATGGCTACAATTTCTATGTTGTCGGCCAAGGGTTCGGAAACTTTGATCCTAAGAAAGATCCTGCTAACTACAACCTTGTTGACCCTGTTGAAAGAAACACCATTGGTGTTCCTTCTGGTGGCTGGGCAGCCATCCGCTTCCGAGCTGACAATCCTGGTTAGTATTATATTTTTCAGCAAAAGTATTACATTTTCATTCTAACTCATCCATCTCAGCAATAAGAATCAACGAGACGATCTCACAGGAGACTCATCCTATATTAGGCCCTGTTTGGTAAAATGGTTGTTAGCTGTTAGCTGATAGCTGATTGTGTTAATTAAAGTGTATAAATAGTTGATAACATTAGTTGATTGTAGAAAAGTGTTTGGTAAATTAGCTGTTAGCTGATAGCTGTTTAGTATAATTTCTTTTCTCAAAAAGTTAATTGAAAAAGTTGTGTGGAGTAGCTTTTTGAATTTTAACTTTTTTGGAGTTACAAAAAGCTAATTATCCAAACATTTATATTGATATTTTAACTAAATCAAACAATTAATAGTGGTTAAATAAGTCAAAATTGACCTATAAGCCAATTTTTTACCAAACAGGGACTAAATTCGTTTGAGATGGTCTTAGGTTGTGTAAGTATGTTTCGCTTACATTAATGATGTTGTTTGGATTATAGGTGTTTGGTTTATGCATTGCCACTTTGAAGTGCATCTGAGCTGGGGTTTGAGGATGGCATGGATTGTTAAAGAAGGGAAGCTCCCTAATCAGAAGCTGCTTCCACCACCATCTGATCTTCCCAAGTGTTAAACAACAACATTTTCCACCTGAAATTTCATGGGGGGCAATTTACATAACTTATCAATCTTTTGTTGTTGCATTTCAAGACTTTCTTGTGAGCATGATATTATGTTTTTTTTTTTTGTATTGAGTGGATAAAAAAAGATCAGAGTTTTGGACAGCAAAATGTAGAGTTTCTGGTTTTGTATTTTATTGCTTGAAAGGCAAATCAATAAGAGGATCTATAATAAATCTCTTCCCCTCTCTAATCTCTTCGTGAAATCTCATAGTAACTGAAGAGTGTTCTAGCTGCAGACATGGATAAAACATCTTCAATAGCATAATGTCGAGATAAACGAGAACAAGAATCGAAAAACAATGGCAGAAAGTAAAGAAGTCAAGATTTATCTGATAAGGTTACAAGCAACACTTATTATCCTCCGGTACATATGAGACATACACAACAAGAACAAAACCTGGGCTGGCGGGCTGTCAGTAGATCTCAAGGTTGCTGTTTGAGATTACTTTACAGCTAGTAAAATAGTAAAGGAATTGTCCTTCTAGATGCTGGCTGTCAGTAGATCTCACTTATTATCTCATCTCATACCCACCATGAACTGATGCCAGTAGGTCCAGTTTAACCTGCAATTGCGAAATGGGGGCGCGAAATGGCCACAAATATAAAGAAATTTGCATCTGCAATCTGCAGGTGGCTAGCTTGATTGTTGGCCAGTTTCACTAAACCAATGTGTCAGGATATATCAGAAGTGGGATTTTTAACTGATTGTAAAATGTAGACCCTGGTGGTACTTTTCCTACATATATAGACCTTCCAACTAATTCTGTTTGTCGTTTCCAATCGATTTTTTATCAGCCTGTCATACATGTGATGCCTGATCTGTCCACTGCTCTTATATGCAATGGTAAGAGGCCAGGCCCCCCGGGCTCCGGCCCCCTCTGATTTCAATTGCCTTGTTAATCATATGCTGTGTTGTTTTGGTAGATGCAGAAACTTAGATACTCAAATAGGGGATATTGCAGAGACGATTTCTGCAAGAAATGATGACTATTTAGTTTCTTCATGAATGGTGAAACAACATAGTTATTACATGGAACATATGTTCTGCAACTGTCTGCTTTCAGTGTCTGATAGACACTACTAGATGACTTGTGATTTACGTCATTAAGCTTTCTGAGCTTCCTGATTGTTGAGATTAACGAGAACAAGAAACAATAATAATGACAGAAAGTAAAGACACATGATTTACGTGGTTCGACAAAGTGCCTACGTTGAAAAGAGCGAAGCTGTTCTTTTGTGTACATATATATATGAGACATAAACAACACTTTTGTGTTACAGTTATGACTTCTGCTAGTGCATATATATATCAGACTGTGCCAGATGCCATGGAGGAATTTAATTTTATGCTGTGAAAGTGGCAGTTGAGTTCAGGTAGAATGTCCTGGGGTTTTGACAGTTGTGATTGAACTGTGATGAATGATGGAATTGAAGTTTTACCTTAATCCTAAAATGAGGTGATTGGATAGGTGGAATTGTCAATTATTGAAATATGGACTGATTCCATTTTAGTCCAATTAAGCATCTTGTATGTTCACCCTAATGTACATTTTGTAATATTAATGACAAAAGAATTGCAACTTTTTCCATGCACCTATGCCTCTGCTATATTTTCCCCCTTTTAACTAAATCAAGAAGCCTACTCTTACACAGCCTTAACACCCACCCACCCACCCCTGGGGTGGGACAGTGGAGACAACAATAGTCCCATGTTCAAATATGTTGATTAGCTATGTCTGGTTTCAAATGCCAATTCTCACCTGATGTATAACTTAAAAAATTCAGAGTGGTTTCAAATAGCCGCAGAATGTAAGGTTTGATTTTTACTAGCAGAGTAATTAAAGAACTGGCTTTGTTATAAGCGCTACATACTATAAAAAACATTATAAGAAACATGTAAACTGTTGAGACACATCCCACAATTTACCTCCACTGCTCAGTTTCAGGCCGGATAGGAGTAGGGGAAACCTTGCAATTATGGTGCTATCCTTAGAAATTCGAGCTAATTATTAGGGTTTGAGATCATATTATTTTGTATCAATGTAACACAAGTGAACCAGGTGCATGCTAATCCAACCCATCATGCTAGCCCAAATATTAGACTTAATTAGGGTCTAGGTTCAGATCCCATCTGTATATTTTGTATCATTCAGATATATATATATATATATATACATACTTGTGACTGTGAGTCCCAATTGCTGCAAGAAAGGAATATTTCTAGCCCAAAATGCCAAAACAAGAACCAGGAAAGTGACAGACCATGTGATGTGAATCATATTCATCAAACACCATTTTCATTGCAAACTATATATATATATATATATATATATATATATATATATTACATTTCTGCACTGTTGCTGCTAACACCCTCAGTGATCATCTATCATCACCCTGTTTTGGAACCACATTTCCATTCTCAGATACATATATAAGAGCATAACATATAATGATGATATAATAATCTTATTGTTGTCCTCCATGGAATGGCAAAAAGAATGCATCTGGGGATCAGAGCAAAAGAAGTTGGAGAAGAAGAAGACTCTTCATTCCTGCTGAACTATCTGCGTTGTTTCTAAGAATCTCCATGCTTGTTCCAATGAACAAGCATGCCGATGCAGCGCTTGACAATGTAGAACTTCGCCTTCTGTTCCTTGGCCAAGTTGGTGCACTTGCGGGTGAAGTTGCTCTTGTTTGATGAGCTTTTGGAGGCTGAACTCCTCTGCGAACAGCTCCGAGGCAGCGAATTTTTGGAAGAAGATGAAGAAGAAGAAGAAGGATTTTTCTGGGAAAAACTCCTCATTAGTGGTGGCGGCTTTGAAGATGAACATGATGAGTGAGTGTAAGTATCATTCTTGGACAATCTCCATTTCTGATCATCCATGTAATACTCCATTCTGTATATGATGACTGACAGACAGACAGACAGGGAGAGGGAGAGAGAGAGAGAGACTGTGATATAAGCCATGTAGGTGAGGTGTTGGGATCTATTTATAGCAGAAAAGGGATAGCTGCTTGCCAAAAGCTGACATGTGTTCTAATATCACTTGTTAAAATCAAACAGTTACTAAAAGTTATAGCCCATAGCAATCAAAGCCATATTTCGAAAGACAGGTACTGGACTTGACTATTTATGCCTCAGCCCGTCAATGTCAAATTATACCATGGACCAGGGTATACCTTGCATTGTAGACCATGGTCCAAAAATAAACTTCAGATTCCGTATCAATGGTTGACACATCCTGTACCCGTAGCTATCATATTATGTGTCAGCAACTCAGCAATTATCAAGTCAGATTCTGTATCAATAGTTGACACATTCTGTACCTGCAGTTGATAGTTTCTGTACCTATAACTATCATATTATGTGTCAACAATTATTAAGTTATTTGTTTACAAACGGTAGATACAGAATATGTTAACGGATGGTACAGGATTTTTGTAACAAGGTTCACAATGCAATATGAACCCTGGTCCATGATATAATAATTGCCCATCAATCCCCTAACTACCTGTGTTGGACTAGACCCTTCGGGTTTCGACTCAACCGAACCCTTTATCGACTAGAACTACAAGACAGATTTATTCAGTGCACACCCTTAGAAAGTGACTGCAGCTTTCACTTGTTACTTTAAAAAAAAAAAAAAAAAAAAGACAGGGGTGAGAGTAGATTACACATCACATGTTCATGCTGACAACAACGTATTTATCTGTCTGCCGGTTTCTCTTTTCTCCGCATAGTTTAACCTCTTACCTCCGGTCCCATTCCGGAGTTTTGTTTGACAGCATGAAATATTTTATACCTCTCCGGACATCATTTTCTGGGTTCTTGAACACCATTATGGGGATCCATCAACGTCATCCTTTATGGAGATCCGCCCCCCCGTATGGCGCTCCATGCAACAATCTTATTTTTATCTCAATTATTATTATTAATTATTAATTATATTCTTTCTTTTTTGAGTTCTCTGAACAGGCACGACGCACGCATATATATACATGCATGAACAATTGATATATGCAGTAGCGTAGATGGCCGGGAAATGCAATCTCCGGCGCCCCCACACAAAGGTCGGTGACTCATCATTAAACTATTTTCAAAGGCTGCAGGTGTATGTGATCCCCGGCCGGAAAAATTGATTCCGGGAATATTGATATCCCTATGCACTTAGTAGAGTGAATTTAGTAAAAAGTGTATAGTAGTTCAATAAAGCATGTTACACTTTAATACTAATATGGAGCTTGGGGGCACTTGGCTGCAGGTGACGATTTCAAAAATTGGTCACTAATTTCAATAGTGACCAAAATTGATAGTTTCGGCGACAATTTTTATTGTCACAAAATGTGAAATTTCTTGTAGTGAAATGAAGATGTCCTAATCCCATCACAAATAAAATTTGGAAGTAACCGAATGTTGTAGCATATTGATATATATATTATATTGTCAAAGGCCCTTGGAGTTGGAGGGTTGATGATATCAATTAATGTAAATTCTGCTACAGATAGAATTTATTCTTTTCAACTTTCACCTTTATGACCAGTTGAGCGGCCCATGCGGGCGCACAGATAGAATTTATATTTTTACAGTTGCGGGAGAGAGTACGTGAGGATTGTTATGCAGGATTGGAGTGAGGAGTTAAATGGTTCAAATCGATGGAAATGTACAAAAGTAAAACATGTCTGTTAAGGACAATAATTCTCTGAGAATACTGAGTTGTAAGCTTGTTTTTGTTTCCTTGGACTTTACCCCCCTCTTCTCATCTATCTCATGACAATCTGGCTGTAATATTTTTTTGTCCATTCAGCATTTGCCATGTCAGATCACTTGCCTCGTCACCCCTATATCCACTTTCATGGGATTCAAATTTTGAATTTGTGTGCGTGATCGAATTCATGAATTATATGCACCTTGGACGATTCATTATTATGTTTGTTGGTCGAATTTAATTAAGTTGATAATGAAGTATGCACACAAATATTGTATTCTTGTTTGCTTAGCAGTACTATTTTAATAACCTAAAGATTTTTTATATGGTGCCATGGTAGTACAAATAATGAGCACATTAGGTAGGTGAGCGAAAATGGATTTTGTAGCATTATTATCCGCGTAGTAGCTCAAGTGCTCACTCAATTAATGTTTAGTTTTATTTTTAAAGGTGGGGGTTCCAACTTCCAACCCCGTTGGAAATATGAGGACTAAGAAGTCATTAAGAGATTTTGACCAATTGAGGGTGGTGAAGACATTTTATGCGCAGAAATGTTCATTATGATGACAAATTATACCATGGACCAAGGTCTACTACTATGTCTTGCAATATTGACCCTGGTCCAAAATAACCTTCAGATTTTGTGACGGTTGACAATTTATGTGCATGTAAATAAATTGAAGACTATATGACATATTAACTACAGACACATAAAATAGTAACTAAAGACATACATTGTTAAATACATGTACAAAATATGTTACCTGTAGACACACAATATGTTAACAATATATTATGTATATGCAGTTAACATATTTTGTACGAGTAAATTACACTTTTGGTCAAATAACTATTGGGGTGTTGTTAATTTCAGTCCATGAGTTTCAAAACTGTCGTAACTATTCAATTTTTACTTAATTCCAGTCGCTCCCGCCAAATTGCCGGCGAAAGTGGACGAAAAATGTTAATTGGTTAACTAATGAGGGCAATTTTGTCTTTTCATCTCCTCTTCTCCTCCCTCCCCACCGAAACGTTCTCCGATTGCCTCAGTGTCGCAAACCACCGTCGCGACCTTCACCTGCAATTTTAATCGTGCAAACCAAGGCAATTTGGCCAGAGGGACTGAAATTGAGAAAAATTAAATAGTTACGGTACCAAATTGACAGTTTTAAAACTCATTGACTAAAATTAACAACACCCCGATAGTCATTGGACCAAAAGTATAATTTACTCTATTTTATACCTACCATTAACCATGTATGTGTCTTTTTTTTTTTTTTTTTTTTTTTTTTTTTTTTTTTTTAAGGAAGGGGATACCCTATATATACACACACTACTTGCCTCAAATGAGATTCAAACCTTTCACCTCCCACTTAAGGGTGCAATCAAATACCAGTGGACTACAAGCCACTTGGTACCGTATATGTGTCTTTAATTAACATGTTATGTGTGTTGAATTTATTTTCATGCACATAAACAGTTAACTACTACAAATACATAATATATCACATAATTTTTACACTAGAATCAACAATACAATATAGACCATACTCCATGTTAACAATCTTCTCGAAGTGTCTTGAATCTCATTAGTCATTGATTTTTCTTTTGTTACTCATTTTGCCTTTCTCTAATGCCTCTATTTATTAGTTTTGAGAAAACCACATTTTTTATACTGAATAGTTCCTTAATTTTTCAAACATTTGATCAAATTCAATCCCTCAACTATCCACAACACAATATTCCCTATTTAATTTTTTGAAAGTTTTTCTTCAATTCCAGTTAAAATATTTATTAATATTTCCTAATTTTATACTATTTGTATCTTAAGAGAGTATTTTCAATGCTGATATTTGGTGTGCCAAGTCGATCAAACCAGCCAAAATCTATAAATGTGCAAATACACATCATTATCCGATCCGCACATTCACAAGAAGGAGAAACAAAATAGAGAGTGTGACCATCAGATTTTTTCTTTTATTTTCTGTATTTTTTTTCAAAAATTTTATTCTCACCTAAACAGGTCCCGACTGTTCCTTAAAGACAATATTCATTTAATATATCACATGAATATAAAAACGTAAGTTAAACATTGTTGGCGTGATATATATTTCCCGGGGAATCTTTTGACTATTCAAAATGAACCTAAACTAATTGAAACATTTGACCAACCTATACTAGTGGATTACAATTTGCATGCAACTTGTCGTGTGAATTATCCATAGATTCTGATCATTATTACGGACTACTATTTCTTGAAATTATTATTATTTATTCTTATTCTTATTATTGCTATTATTATTTTTCTTTTTTGAAAACATATAAAAAGTAAGCATGCAAATGTGCATAATGTAAGTTCATTATGTAATCTACCAACATGCATGCAGGCCATAGCGCGTAAAAGTCGTAATGTGTGAACAAGTATAAGTTGATAATATCGCACACTAGCTAAATTGGTCAGGTAATTAGCTCAGCTTGATAATTATTTATTAATTTTTTGATTTGAGTTTATTAGTTATAGACAACATAGGTTGATTTACCTCTTTATAGTCATTTAAGAACAAAATGCACTCTTTATGGAGATATATAGTCGATCAACTATGAACACCTTAAGCGACATTATTCCCATAGTACTCCAAAACTTTTTGAACTATACACACAAGATATACGGGACCGATTGACACAATATAAATTGACATTATTTAAGGGAATTGAAAAAAAAAAAAAAAAAAAAAAAGATAGTGATGTTTTTAGTAATTAATTACAAAGTATCATTCTAAGATGTTGATCAACATCAATATCTCTTGCATCGTAGTATTCCCAAGAAACAATGTCCATTATCAGGGTTTGATCTGATGACCACCCATTTAAAATGGTAACAAGGTGTACATAGTACATAGTAGTTGGCCGACATAATTTGATTAACAGTTAATTGAAATTATTTCAATTAAAACAACATTTTTAGTTCCGATCCATTCAAAAATAAAAGTATTGGTTGGTTTTGATTTATTTTTTTTAGTGCTACTGACTCTGTTACAATGTAGTATCTGTTCGTAACTACTTTCTCAATTTACTGAAGCACAAAGAATCAATACTGTCTCCACTGGGACTCAAACTCATGACCTTCATTTGGGAGAACTACTTCGTGCTACTAGACCACAATGTTATTGGAGTTGGTTGCTTTTGATAATTATGAAATTTTTCAATAAAAGTAATTGGGTAGGTCAAAGAAGATTAAAGAAGAG